TTTTTTTTTCCTTTTTTGTCTTGCTTGGGATTAAATTGATTAAAACACAATGAGTAAGTGGAAAATGAGGGTCTGACATTGAGCAATTTAAAAGTTTGTTTTTTGCTCTAGACATGAGTCCCTAAATTCTTGAAGCTGAGCAATTAATTACAGCTTGCTTTGAAAATAGAATTATTTTAGTTGTCCTGTGCTGACTAAACCTCATTCAAATTGTCTTCCTTGAGCATTGCTGAACTTATTTAAAAAAGAAATGTGGGTGTTAAACATGAATGGTTACCCAGAAAAGGATATTTGATTTCTAGGACTAAAAGTGCTGGGCTTTACCTCCTAAGAAGACTCCCCCCAAAACCCTGCCATGTTCTTCTAAGTAAAATTCACATTGCTCCCAGAGCCTGGGACACTTTGCTATAAATTCCTTTAAAGAAATACTTGGTTACCAGGGTTACAAGTTCTCATCTCAGCCCATCAGCCCCTGGGCCCCCACTTCTCAGATGGCCAGCGCTGGGGCCTTGAGCCCCCGCCCATCTCAGCTCCAAAGTGGAGGATGCGTGGGGGAGGATTAATCCCTCTTTAACTCCATTCCTTCCCGCCCTCAATTCTGAACCCCAACTGATAGGTTTCCCAGTGAATAGGAGCAGAGGAGCTGCTCTGTCCAATAAAGATTAAATTAAGTAGAAGAATCTGAGCTGCTGGGTATTTGGAAGCTCCGGTGGGGCGACAACCCCGACGTTTAGCACCTTTTTTCCACTCAATGTGCACAAATCCTGGACCTGTTGGGCTTAACTTTAGGAGAAAGAGGAGTGGGGAAGAGAGAGAGAGGTGGGGGGAGGGAGGCCGAGATCCACTTTCTGAGGAGGGGGATATGGCTTTCTGCTGCAGGCTGAAGGCAGAAGCAGGGCTTCCCGACCTCGCTTGCCCCCCCCCCCAGCCACTGTGAGAGTTGGAGGCTTCCTCTTCAGAACTGCTCTGGCAGTGTGATTTAAGTTTGTCCCTGAGGAGCAGTAGGGTGGCCCCAGGGTCCTGACTGGGCATGAGGGTCAGAGTGTTCAGAATTCAGTTGCTTCCTTTGTGGTGATTTCTTTTCTTTTTAAATAAAGGCTCTGGAAGCAAAAACTGAGCATTTTCTTCTGGTTACTGCCTAGCAGGAAAAGTAATGTTTTTTCCCCCCTACTTGTGTTCAGCTAGCTGGACCCTGACCTTGAAGCTGAGGTGAGATGGGCACTCCCTTACTGGAGCCATCCTGATACCCAAACCTCAGCTATTCATTCCCACCCGCTCCTCTCCTCCCTGGGCAGTCTGGAGAGGCAAAAGGCAAGTCCCTTCATGGGGAAGGCTTGTCCAAGCAAATACAAGACGGAATAAATTAACCTCAAACCAGCTAGTTGGGGTGTAGTAGTTTAGCAGGACTAATTGCAGACGATGTAGCTGAAATGACTTTTCCAATTAGCTGCTGGTTGGAGTTTAGTTGGAGGAACTGTCAGCTCCAACGATGGGTAATTGCTTTATTGCTCACAAAACTATCATCTATTTAGAACATATGTGCTAATTACTCTGGATGGGCGTCGAAAAAGAGACCATAAATCTAATAGCACTTTTAAAAGTCTATGGTGCTTGTAAGCAACCATGGTCCCTTGCCCATTCTTCCTGTCCAGGTTGGCGGGATAGATGGCTGCCTTTCAGGAAGGTGAATGTTTGGATGCAGCGGAAGGCACCCTGGGGATGGGCTGGTCAAGTTGGGTGCTGAAAGCAAGTCCCCAGCAAGCCTCGCTGAGGAGCTAAATCACTGACATCAAAACCAGTCAGTCTTCTCTTTAGCTTCGCGCTTGTTTTTTCTTTTTCTTTTTTTTTCATCTTCAAAAAAAGATTACTTTAGAAAGCTTTTAATTGGATTATGCTGGGAAATTAATCTCCTTTAGTCCTGGCCAAATTTATTGTGGCCAATGTCGGGAGGAAAGCCCTGTCACTGCAACAAGGGCCCTGTCCCCTTTTTTCCTTCCTTTCTTCAGGGCTCCAGGGTCTTGAAACTGCGTTGTGACAGCAGCGCCTCACGTCCTCGGGACTGACTGCAGGGAGCAGGGGTGGAGAGACACATCTGGCTGATGGCCGCGGAGGTCCCAAGTGCGCCTCCTTTATCCTCAGCTCCACGTTTCGGTCCCAGATTCTCCAGCTGCACACCTAGCATCCCCGCAGCAGTGCGCCTATATCCACCAGAAGTTCCGGGTTCTGGGACCCCGCTCCTAAGGAGGCTGGAGTGGCAGGAAGAGGAAGTCAGGTGTGTCGGAGGAGGGCTGCGGACCAGGCTCCCTAGTTTGCCTTTCCTCCCCATAGGTCCTCCTCTGGCCTCCTGCTAGGAGCGAGACCTCGAGGGCACTCCAAGTCTCTGCGCAAAAACGCAGGGCTCGCTCTTGGCTTGGCGTCCTCCCTAGCAACCCTGTGGGGACACTTCCCACTGATGTGCACAGAGCTCGAGGTCGGGGCTGGGGCAGGGCCCCGCCGCTCCTCCTCCTGACGCCTCTAGCACCAGGAGCACCAGCGCAGCGTCAGGCGGCGACCTCTCTAACAGTCCTGTTGCCCCTTGCGGGCAGCCCGGTGCCACGCTGTTCCAGCAGTCTCTCGAAGCCGAGGGTCGGCCCTGCTGGCCTCGCTCCTCCGCGGGAGATAACAACATATGCCTGAAAGGTGATACCTACTTGTGCAGCTCGATTTAGCTCTTAATAGCAGCCCTCTGAGGTGTGGTTAATTGATGGGGATAAAGGAGTAATGGCTAGACCGGGGAGACGCCGACGATCCTTTAATATACTTTTAAAAGAACAACAACCACCCCAAACATGGGCCAGTCATTGCTCCGTGGGAGGTGCGGGGAAGGGAAAGGCAGGGGTCCCACTAGAGGGGTCAGAGCGGAGTGATCCCTGGCTCCCAGGCCTTGGGCCACTGGGAGCCCCCGGAGCGCGCAGGGCGGATTGACAGGGGCTTTTCCCGTGGCTGCAGGTTGGGACCCAGAACTGGGAGAGCCAGGACTGACAAGTGAACTGGGCCGATGACGGGAGGGGAGGAGCCCCGAGCCTAGGAAGATGCTGCTCGCCCCCGGGCTCTGCCATTCTATCGGTCCTCTCCTGCGCTGGACCGGACGGCTACACCCGCGGGCCACATGACGGTCTCCCAGACTGGAGCGATTCGCCGTCTAGCGTGAGCGAAATGGCCAAGTGGCCGCGCTCTGGGGGAACTCGAGAGAGTCCCGAGCCGAGCCTGATCAACCCCAGTGGAGACGGAGCGCTGGGAATGATAACCCCAGTGGAGACGGAGCGCTGGGAATGAGCAGCACAGGTCCCTTTGTGTTTGTGAGCGCGCTGTGGGCTGCGCGCTCGAGAGCGCAAACCGCCTCCCGACGCACAGCTGGGCCACAGCCGCCCTGAGCACGTGGCCGCCTTGAGACAGGGGCTCTCGGGATCCTTGGGACCCGGAGAACTGGGATTTGCTGCTCTGGACCTGGGGTCAGCGCAGCTACTATACCTCTGCTCCTGGTTCTCTCCTTGGCATCTGTCCTGTCTCGGCCTGGTTTCTCTTCGCTCAGTTCTAACCGAGTCTCTAGACGGTTAAAGGAGTGTTTTACTGGGCTCAAGCACAGACCTTAAAACTAGCACAGAAAAGGAGAGAAGAGCTACTGGCTTTCTCGGTGGGCAAGGAGAATCTCCGCAGGATATAGGCGGTGGTGTCCCTAGCAGCGGATTTACATTTTGGGGAAGGGTCATCTTAGTGCTTCAGGTTTTAGCTCCTCTGGAAGCAGAAGGAAAAATGGCTCCAATGACCGCCACATTTCATTGCCCTGAGAGATAGCAGGTGTTTCAGCCGCAGCTATTGTGTACCTTCCTCCTGGAGCCCACCCCACAGGGATGAAAGCGGCCCAAGAAACTTAATTTCCCCAGAACCTCTTGCAGAGGCGCGGACGTCGCTAGGTGGGAGAGCTTCGACGTCAAAGATTTGAAGACATGCTATTAAGAGTCCCAAGGCCAGGAGTGTGCGGGTCCCCGTGTGGTTCACCTGTACGCTGTCTACCAACCCCCTGAGCTTCTTCCCTGTGTGGGTCTCAGTAACCAAGACCCACAGATTCTTAGCGGTTGAGCTCCTGACCCCTTCTCAGCCCCAGGAGAGCAGGGCTCCAGGGCCGTTGCATAGTCCTCCGGCGTCTCGGAGCCAGGGACAAGGCCCCAAGTTCAAACTCATGCCCGGGCTCATTAGGATGGAGTCCCGGACCTGGAGGCAGGTTCCCGCGGATCTCAGTGGTGTCCTAGGTTTCCCTGAAATGCCGACCGCCTTGGGTCCCCAGGGCTCCCCTCGGGGCAGTGCTGGCCTTAATTCCAGGCCATCAGGCACCACAGAGAGCCTAAGCCTTGCTTCCCTCACTGCCCAGAGGCGCTCCCTTGTGAAGGAATTCTGCTGTCGGAGAACCAGGGTCCTGGCAGGGGCCCTTCCATCCTTGCCCCAGGAGCGTGTGAAGTGCGACCCCGAGCTCGGCACGCGCGAGCAGCTGCCGTCGCGGGAGAGGACCAAGTCCAGGCGCACAGCCTCGCGCGGGGTGGCGGCCCCCGGCGGCAGGGGCCAGCAGGAGGCTGCGCGCTTGCTAGCGCTTCAGGGCACCTCTCTGCGAGCACGCGTGGTGACAAAGCTGGAGCCTGAGTAGGGGGCTCAAAGAGGGAGCCAGGCCCGGCCGGGGGTGGGGGGTGGGGGGTGGCGCGTGCTTCCCGAACCCGGGCCGACGCCCCCAGGTCGGCGGCGGCACAGTTCATGCCCCGGGGTTAGCACTGCAAAGCTCTCGGGATTGCGGCTCGGCCCCCGCTCAGCTGTGCAGGCTTCAAAAGCCCACAGTCCAAGGAAACCGCTTCAGCGAGCCTCCCCGTTAACCCACTGGTCCCTGCCGCTCTGCGGGCTGGGGCGATGGGACGGCTTGCCCCGTCTTGGGCAGCCAGTCTTTCACAGGTATTGGGCCGGAAGGGGTAGGAAGCAAGGCCTGGGCCTCGGCTGGAGAACGTTGAACCCGATTTTCTGTTTTAATGTTTTAAGAAGCTTGGAAAACCGGCGAGAGTTAACTTAGGGGCCTTCGGGTGTTTTTGTTTATTTAGTTATTTATTTTTATTGTTAAGCATCCGTCTATGTGGCTGGAGCAGCACAGCAAAGCTGTTACACCGTCCGTTTAAAACACTCGCACACACAGCCCCAAAATCTTGGGAGACCGTGTCTCAGGAATTTTCCCAGAGATTGCTTTATAATCTCAAGTTAGAGTTGGTACGGACAGCGCCACCAACACACTGAATAGTATCTTCCTTCACACGGGGATCGAGGACCGGAAATACCGTCACCTTTCAGCACTGATTGCCGGGAACTGGAGCTCCAGGTGTTGGCGCGGGAGGCCCTGCGAGTGTGAGCAGGTAACGTGGAGAAGGGTGACATTGTTAACAGAAAGCATCTAATTCACAATGACTTCATCTGATTGGAAGAAGGCTTTTTAAATCAATCCAGATTCACTAGCCTAAGCTCGGCCAGTTTATGAGTATGGAGCCCGACCGGAGTCTGCTTTCTTTCAGAGATGTCATCTTTGAGGTAATAGCATAGGTGAAATCATTTGGTTACACCATGGAAACTTTTATAGGGACTTCCTTGGGAATTTAATTCAGTGCTTCTTCATTTTATTAGGAACAGACTGACTCCAACTGGGCTCTTCCAGTTCAGAGGCAGGACTGCTTGAAGCAATTAGGTTCACCAATTAGCATAGTTTTACTGACCCCAGCAGCAGCACCGATCCTTAGATGATCCCTTCTTCAAAGTCAGGGAGAAGCGGCTGCAGCATGCTTCCCAGGCGTCCAGGCTGGGGGAATAAACAGTACACAATGCAAAGGGTTTTCTGATGATCCATGAGGCTTGGTTTTTAGCACTTCGGTGGATCTTTTGCCCCCTTATGGTGATGGATCCTGTAATACCACCTTACCTGACACTCACTTTAAACCTCTGTCCTTTGGTTGCATTTTGGCAGAACTGCTTCTAAAGTCAGTTTTCTCCCTTCTTGTCTGTCCTCCTGTGTGCTAATAATGATTCTATGGAAAATGTTAGGGTTCAGAGGGAATTCACTGATGGGCTCCCTGAAACCCTGACAGGTGACGGGGTAAGGGATCAAGCCCAAGTGTGTGTATCTCAGCATATGTGAGAAGAGATGAGAGAGTGCAGAGGGAAATATGTCATTTCTCTCAATTTTGAAGGGGCACCTGCAAGGTGGTGCTACAGTCCTTCTGTGTAAGTTCAGTCAGCTAGTGACTGGCATTGTTAGCAAAATGAAATGTCAGCCGAGGCCCAGTGAGGTGGAGTGTGCCTGTGACCACAGAAATCTGATGAGGCAAGAGGACCCCAAGTTCAGGTCCACCTTGGGCATGCAACTTAATGACTTAGCAACAACCTGTTCCAAAACCAAACAAGCAAGGAAAAGAAAAACTCACAAGTCTGGATCACAAAGCAGTCTAGGAAAGAATTTTTGCTCTCGCTACTGTTTTGGGTAGTAAAAGGATTAAATTTACATGGCTATTGTCCTTCTCTCTTCCCTAATATATACATATGTGTGTGTGTGTGTGTGTGTGTGTGTCTGTAAGATTTCACTAAATTAAATTGCTGACAGTTCATCAGTAGCAGCAACAATGTAATTCCCCTAACCTTATTAAATCAATAAATACTAGATTCATGCATTGAATTAAAAATGCATCAGCATGGCCAGGAATTGCGATCACATGGCCACAGACCTTGAAATCGAAGGTGTCATTCAGAAATTGGCTGGTTAGCATTTATTTAATCACTTCTTCTATTTCAGGTAGAGATGAAATATTTTGGGGTTTTCAGATTTCGGAGATCATTATGACAGTTTTTTTTTTGGTTTGTTTAGTTCTTAAACATCCTTTTACTAATTCCTCACATTTAACCCCCAAAATGATACATGCATTTAACAAAAGTAATACACCTTGACTTTATATTTCTTGTCATTACTATTAATCTAGGGAATATTCTTCTACTTAGAAAACCTTCCTCTAGTAAGTTGAACTCAGGTGCACACATCTCCACATAAGCATAAATGCTTTTATATAAGTATACATAAATATACTTGGAAAAATTACATATATTTAGGGTGAGTACTGTATATTGTTTATAAGTTGATTTTATTTTATTTTATTTTTTATTTTTTGGTACTGGAGATTGAACTCGGGTCCTTGAGCTTGTGAGGCAGGCAGTGGAACTACTAAGCTAAATCCCTGGTCCTTAGAAGTTTATTGAAAAAAACACATTTAATTTATCTTTTAGCACTGTCAGCTATATCATAAAGCAAAGACTTAGTTATCATATGAAAACAAGCTGTTTATAAATGGACCTGCTGGTTGGGATTCACAGCACAAGAGATGAAATTTAAAAATTCAAGTCTTTAAACTTAACACAGTATCTAGGACATTACATATATCTCAAGTGTTACATTGTGTGTGTGTGTGTGTGTGTGTGTGTGTGTGTGTGTGTGTATAAACTCCTCAAATATAGTTTACCAGGAGTTGATTAGTTAAGATGTATGTTAGAGGTGAATTTATATTTAGCTTCCACTGAAAACAAGGAACATGTATAATACCTGAAAGTTGAATTAAAAAAGTGATATTACTCTACCCAAATATTTGACCATGCTAATCAATGATGCTAATTATTTAAAAAATTCATTCCCTATTGATGTCTGCCAGCATATATTGTACTGGATTCTCAAGATATAGTCATTGGCCCTTGGGTTCACCACACTGTGGAAGAAAAATCTTTATTTGACGAAATAGGCAATCAACTGAAATCTATCCGCTTTAAATAAACTGATTCTTCAGTACATCCCCAGTGTTGGTGTAAGTTGTTGTCTGTGATGTCCCCCAGGGCTCTTTCCGCTGCTCTCTGATTTGGTATATAAAAGCAGCTCTGAATGATGGATTACGGTGTCATTGCAGCCAAGGAAGGATTAATTTGTTTCATTGATTTCTCTTTAGGCAGATTGCCAGAATTTGCTGCTTCCCACCTTTCTTCAAGACTTCTACAAGTAATAGACAGTAATGGCCTAAGACAAATCAGCTCCTTCTTGTACAAGTAAAATCAGGGAACTTAGAGTCCTAGGAAAGCTATGGCAAACTTTTTATTTGCATACTGGGGAGAGCAATTACTAAGCTTCTTATTTTGACTCAGGAATATTTTGAATGGAAATATTTCTGAAATTGGCATTATATAAAACAATATGCTAGTAGATTGTAAGTAAATATTTATAATGTTTGTCTCATAAAAACATTTCCTAATTTGCAGAGGATTCTGTTTAACGAGGGGGAAAATGTGAAATTATGTGATCGAAAAAATCCTTTCCTTTTTATGACAAATTTTGGAGTCACACAATATGTTCACACAACTTTATCAATTTATCCATAAGTATTTATAGGAGCATTTGACTCAAATAATTTTTGGAAACTTTGGACAGTGACCAGGAGTGTCAAAACATAAAAATATGAACAATTTCTTTAAAAAGTATCATCTCCTCATAAGAGAAAAAATTTTTTTTCAGTATTGGGGGTTGAACTCAGAACTTTGTACTTGCCAGGTAGATGCGGCACCACTGAGCTACATCTCCAGACTGTATTAGAAATTATATTTTGTCTATTTTTTTGTCTAGGAATTTAATGTAATGTGAATAAAACTATCAGATATATATACACATTTGTGTGTGTGTGTGTGTGTGTGTGTGTGTGTGTGCACTAGGGATTGAACCCAGGGCCTTGTGCATGCCAGGTAAGCACTGTACATAGCACTCTGCTCCCAAACCCCACCTGTATAATGTTTCAACATATATAGGTAATCATTGCTGTACTTTTGGAAAATATATATTTTGAATTTTTTATTAATATACAGTTGTTATGAGTAGCATTTTATTTTTTCTCATTGAGTTTATTGGTACATTTTAGGTATACAGTACAATTACATTCATCATTGGGATCTTGTATGAGTAGCCTTTTAAATAAGTCTTTTAGAGTTGCTATGTTTATTCCCTTTAATATTTTATTAAAAATTATTTGGGCAGAAAGTAAAGACTATTTTTGAAGATTCTTTATATTGTTTGCCTAATTGTTTTCCAGAAAGGTTTTACCAATACATAGTGGTACTTTAAACAATTTCTCTGTAGAGGCAGCATTCTAATTTATGTTGCTGGAGCAAAGAAAACAGAACAACACTCTTTTCCTTGTGTTCTGGAAGCACCAGTAGCATTTTGCATATACTTAGTCTCTCAGAAGTATTTTCCCAAACTGCAGATGTGACATAGACTGGTTATACAAATCTACTTGTTTCCCTTCTGTAGTGCTGAAAATTATATTGATTTAATGATCTCAAGTTATACTTTTTATGCAATTAGTTGTGTAGTAAAAACTAATATTGTCACGTGCTAATGTCTTTTTTTTTCTCTCTATTGTGCTCTGGTAGTCGTCCATGCATGCAATATCAGCAAGTTTGTGCTTTTCCTGTGCTTTGCTGAAAGGAAAAAGGAACATCTGTTTCCATTCTATATCTGCATCATAATGATAACAATTAAATAGCTATTATGGTAGTATACAGTAAATATATTTTGCTGAATGACCTATATTTTTTTTGTTGTAAAATTTTGGAGATATCAGAAATGCTTAGTTTTTACAGGTAGATTCACTGTAGAGGTTTAAAAAGGCCTTTGCCTACTTTAGTAAATTATTGCAGTTCTTATTTGTCTCCATAAAAACAAACAACATGATGATTAAACACTAGGCTTTCAAATGTGATTCTTGAATGTATTTCTCTTAGGCATACGTCTAGAGGACGGATTATGAGGTGTCACTCTCAATATTCTGAAGTGAGTTTATCATGCTATTAAGCACACGGTTTATTGTGTTTCATACCATTTGTGTAGTTTTTATATTTTCAGAACTGGAAGGTTGGAAATAGTTAAAGCATGTTTCATTTTTTCCCTTAAATTAGAGGGACATAGTGATATTTATCTTTTTTTTTAATGTGCTGCTGAAGATCAGACCCAGTGTCTTGCACATGCTGAGCACACACTTCACTACTGGGATTCTCCCCCGGCCCCGATGTTCACCTTTGAAGCTTAGCAGGAGAATGTCCGAGAACACACTCAACTTTTTTCATGGACCTTTAAAATTCCAGGGAAATATTTTTATTTATTTTAGCTTTTGCTTAAAGATGTTTTGGTAGTTTATTAGAAAACTGATTAGGAAGTTTATATGTATTACAAAATGATTATATATATGTATTACAGACACACCCATGTATCCCAAACCCAGATGTTTGAAAAAGAAAATGTTCCCAATAAAACTGAAATCCTTCCTGATGGCTTCTTGAAGAAATA